GCGAATAAATCTCTAGCCAGGATTTTCAAGGGCTGTCGTGGGCGCGCAGGACACTTCAAAAAGTAAAGTGCTTTGCAAGGCATCCTCCTTATCGCACGTTACCACTGGTTATTCATTGCAACAGGCATACCTCGCCAACTTTCATTGAGGCGAAGGCTAGATCCCAGGCCTTGATCACGTTGCCCTTGCCCAGCACAAACTTGAACTCAGCGTTGCGGTCACGCGAGCTGTCGAACTTGGTGCCGTCCAGCAGCGTACCGGTGTAGTGGGCTGGCAAGCACAATCATCCAAAAATTTAGAGCCACTGATTTGAAGGTATCTGTCGCATGATGCTCTACACACCTCGAATTTCGTCGCCAGCGGGCGGAACCTCGCCCGATCCTTCGACGTACGGTTCCTAGATTTCGACGTGTTGCTGATCGCTAATGGCAGACTGCAGTGATGAAATTGGGCATGTTTTAGTGGCAGCTTGAGGTGTAGTATGCACAGAGAAAATTGTCTGGAGGAGCGTTGTCTCGGGTGCTGTTCAGCTACATGTAGTGCTTCCTTCAACCGACTGCACAGACTCGAAAATTTCGATCTCACTCTTAAAATCGATGGCTGCCACCCTTTCAGTACGATGCAAGATGAGTGGCATCTGGTGTTGGGTATAGCGACAGTTGGCTCACGCTTTAGCGCTTCAATTCGCTCTTGACATTCAATTTAAAGCCAGATAACAAAAGTACAAAATTCAAATAGAGAACCTACGTGCAGTGCTGCCTCTCGGTCCCCGTGCATCAATGAAATTTTGATCTAGCAAAACCTTTTGACGTTGCAGTCGATCGCTCCAATATCCGCGAAGTCTCGATCCCAAACTTCAAAGTCAATGAAATCTCCGACAAGAAGATCAAGAACACCAAGAGGACTTGCGACCTACAAGACTGCATCGTGAAGAAGACTGCAGAAAGATTTGAAGCGACGTGGTCTCTGCTGTTGCGAAGTCGAGCATGTCTGTCTCGCCCATCTTGTTGTCACCCCTGGCACTAAGTACAATAGTGCTAGCAAATGAAGAAACGTTCTGTTCATGTAATACTATTAACCCTTTCGTCACCCCCATTCATTTCTATATTAAGCCTTACATACTTTAATCAAGTTAAACTTTCAAAACCGTACATCATGTAGGGTTTTAGTATATCAATTGCGAAGGGGTTTGCGAGCTTATTAATCGCATTTGAGAGGGTTTAATCAAAACAGTACATAATGTATGGTTCAGATTGCTGCAATATGATTTGCTGAAAATAATTGACGGCACTGATGATTCGTCGAAAACACACGAAAATCTTCCTTCTATCCCAACATTGGCACAAGGTGCAGTACCGTGAATGACAGCCTTGCCACAGTGGAAGAAGGTGGCGATGCTCCATGGAGGCAGAGTGGATCTCGGAGGTCCAATTTGGACCTCACTTCTGAAAAGCTGCGAGCGAGAGGAGTTAGGAACTGAGCGCAGAGATGGCTGAGCGGGCTTCAAAGCGTCAGCGCAGGTCTCAAGCCAGCAACACACCACAGCTTTCTCGAGGTGTGGCACTTGTATAGTCACTAGACTATAGACTACGGGTAGCAGGTGATAACATGTTTGTTTTTTATTTTATGCAACAGATAATTCTGTGAATTTCAAGGACGTTTGGAAAGTGTTACGCCGTGTGGGATGGTCCTATAAACCCTCGTCGAGTAGAAGTTTGGATTTGCGCTATCGCTACGTTCGTCCTGGAGGCAACCCAAATGGAATAAATGGTCAAGACTATTTCTTGGGGGAAGAAGCACTTGTTGGGTACTTCAACAGTGCGTATGCAGATGAAGCACCTTACGTGAAAACTGGTAACTCGGTCGGAGTATTGCATAGTGCTAATGTAGGTACGAAGAGCAGTGCGATTGATGAGCTTGATGCCCTACAAGTTGGTGCTACAGCTGGAAATGTTGCTTCAATACCTGAGCAAGGAGATATAAGTTTGGATACTTGTGACAAGGACGACGACAGACGCACTAGACAGCTAGATGGTAATCCTGTGGCTCACACGATACCAAAAGCTACTATTGGTGTCGTGGATGAACAAATATGTGTTCATACGTCTACTGTCGATGAACCTCAGCAATCACGTACAAAGTCTACTGTTTCGACTCCAATATGTCCAGTTTGTGAATCACCGTGCTCGACCCAGCGGTCGTGCACGACGTGTGGAGCATTTATGCATCATTTTTGCTCTCATGATGTTTGTGCAGCACTTGAGCTGTACGACCCGGACGGACAGCAGATACTGGATTTTGGAGACGCTTCGTTCTGCAGTAAGCAGTGCTATCGAGAAAAAGCAGCACCGGTCGTGATGAACATGAGTGGGCAAAACCAGGGGGGTACAACTGGGTTGGTTTCGGGAGTAACTACGTCGAGTGTTGCTACATCGCACAGTGATATCCACCTCCAAGGACAATCACAGTCGGAAGGAGTACTAATACGAACGAGTGAAGCCAAGTCAAACCCGCCACCTCTACTACCAGTTAAACGCAAGCCGAAATCAGCAACTCGTAAGACAGACCAACCACGAACAGCAACTGAAGAGAACGCAAAATCACGAGTTAGCAGTACTCGAAAGAACTCAAAATCAGCTGAACGCTCGCAATCGAAAGGAAAACAAAAAATTTCAAACGCAAATGCTACTGCATTTCGTAAAGAACTCGCAATACGGGCGGAAGCTACCGCAAACAGATACGTTGGAGCCAGTGTGGCGTTTTCGCCAGCTGAGGAAACCTGGATGGAGCGCAAATATTATAGCGATGTCGGCTCAACTTATCTGATTGGCGTAGTGACTCGTCACATCCTTGAAAATAAAAAAAATGGTGATGGTGTGGCTGTGCCAACCTTGTCGTTTGAAGTACGATGGACAAATACCGCTTTTCAAACAAAACATCACGTTCATCAGATCGAAGAAGATGTCGTATGTCGCGGCGTAAAACACTACGTGGCTATACATCAGAACAGTGCTGAATTTGGTGAATCTTGGAGTGCGCTTTGCAGTATGGTGCCAAAGTATACGAACATACCTCAACTTACAGATGAATTTGACGAAGTACAAGAAAGTGAATATCGTGAGTGGTCGGTCTTTCGAAGCCAGAAAGAGCTTCAAATTGATTTGTGTCCAGCAGAAGTCGAGCTTATCCAAGGTATGACATTCTCACCTACGGCTTCGCTTGACGAAGTACCAGGCCTGTTTGCTCACCCCGATGGGTCTACAACCACAAAATTACGCGAAGAAAGTAAACATCTTTTTGGAAAAAGTGCAAGCTCGAGTTTCTTTGCGTTTATCCCTATTTCGTTTTGGAAACAAGTGGTGACTTTTTCAAACGGTCGTGCTGCAGAAACCTCTGGTCAACTTGGAGCACCTATTGAACTGGAAGAATTGATGATATTTCTTGGGATTCAGTGGTACATGACACTTGTCGACAAGGGCGAGATGCGAAATTATTGGTTTGACAATGAAGACTCAAATATTTTTCCTGGACAATCGTCGACAAGTTTGGCTACTGTTATGAGCTGGAAAAGGTATCTATACATTAGAAAAAATTTATCGTTTCGCCCTCGTACAAGTGCTGAGGAGCTGTCGAGTGATCCTGCAGCAAGTATACGTCCTCTGATAACAATTTTGAAAATAAGATGCTGCCGTCACGTTATTCCGGGGCGAGATGTGGCTGTGGACGAAGCGAGTATTGCGAGTAAATCAAAGTACGCCAGGCACATCATCGTCTATAATCCACGCAAGCCGACTGGAAAATATCACTTCAAATTGTATGTCTGCTGCTGTTCGACGACATGGATTGTCCTTGATTTCAAACTTCACTGCTCCAGTGACCTGAAAAATCGCCTAGCAAATGTAATTTCTCCTGCGGAAATAGATCGTCTTGCGGCGTTGACAGAAAAGTCTTCAGAGATTCGGAAACATGTCATTGAAGTCACAAATTCGCTAAGAGGTTCGAGGCGGGTGGTAAACACTGATAACTTCTACACATCGTGTTTATTGCTGGAAAGCCTGAGAACGGTTGGTCTTTACGGGCGAGGCACCGTCCGTTCTTCCAGTAAACACTTCCCGCGTTATACGATGGTTGGGTCGACCGATACTAAGAGAGGCACCATGAAGCAAGGGGTGTGCGTGGAAAAACACATCGTGGCGGCTAGTTGGGTGGATGGATCGGTAGTCAATGTCATTTCAAATGCTGATGACTCGGGTACCACAACTGTATATCGACGGATTCGACAACAGCGGGAGCCCTTTAAAGCCCCAAAATGCGTCAGTGAATACAACACCGCGATGCAAGGAGTAGATCGTCACGACCAACTACGGGGTAGATTTTCTGTGGCCAATGGTCACACGTTTAAGAAGTGGTATAAAAAGCTGGCTATGGCGATGATTGACATCGCGCGATGTAATGCTTACATATGCCATCAAATGGCTCGCCGTAGCAATCACTCGGGATTCAGTGATGGCGAAGATAGTCCGGAATCGAGTCGTCGAGACGAGCACCGTGCATTTGTCGCAAGCCTTGTTCGCGAAATGTTCGATGGAACGTGGAAAGAGTCTCTTAGTGACGATGATGGGATGCTATTTGCCAATAGCAACGATGGACCTACTTCTTCTCTTTGTCATGCTGCTAACACTGCTGTTTCGAGTGGTACCAATGACGTATGCGTGGCACGGGAGTCATGGATAGCACTAAAAGATCGAAGTCGAGCGATGCGTGAGTGTACTGTGTGTCGCTTTGAATGCAGAAATCCAACTCAAAAGACAGACTACTGCGAAAAGCACAAAGTTGCTTTGTGCAAACGCACCTACCCAATCGATAAATCCAAGCCACATCTTTGTCAAGAAGCGTCATGGTCATGCTGGCAGAAGTACCATGGATATTATCTGCCTAATCTGGTCTACAATCTCGAAGGTCATCTCATGCGAAGCTCTTCGATATACAAAATGCAGGCACCTTTCCTCCGATCAAATGCAAGCAAGAGGACTACGCGTTAGGCTCACGTGGCTCACGTGACCGCTGGTCACTAGTTCCGGTGTCGCATCGGTACAGCAATTTGATTATATGAAAAAAAATGAGAAGTGGATTTATAGATACTTGGTTGGTGCAGATTTTTGTAAGCAAAACTACCCACACTACACTGCAAGCTTGAGGACAAACCACGCTTCGGTAGCTCTCAACGTGAAGATATTATTGCGTCAAATGTCCATATGGCCGGTTGCGAGTCATCGTGAACTGCATTTTCTCCCAGACCATCGGCGAGGTGCAAGTGGCTGCTGGTAGCAAAGAGGCTACATCCTCTCGCACTGTTCCGTGCCTGCCGACAAGATGAATTGGCGTTTGACGAGCAGCGTGTGTAGCAATCGCTGCAGGTCCAACACAATGGACATCAGTCGGAAATTCGCAGTCTAATCACCAGCCACACCGTGTACAAACCGTCGTAGTAGCTACCGCGCATGATTGTTGTTGCCGCTGACGCTTCGTGTTCACATCGGTTAGGGAATGCAGCGGCCAGTGTAGCAACGGTATCGCTCCAAACGGGCAGCATGTATGACTGACGTTCGGCGCCCATGTAGCGTTAGCATCGTACAGCGTGCGGACCGGCGTGGCGACAGCGACTTGTCGGCGTTAGCAACTTATGTGTGGACCAGCGTGACGACAGCATGGGAATCGAGCAGCATTTCCACCAGAGATTTTGGTGGTGTCAGGCGGCGGGTGGGTTAGCAGAGATGGGTGGGGGCAGTCGGTATGAACCCGAGTGTTCACAAGAAAGGAAATTGCGGAATGAGACTCGTTGGGGCTTGGCGCGCGCTCGACGCCCCCGCACGCGAGTTTGAATCGTTGACCCTCCAAAGCGGCTTGTTTCGCGCCAAAACATTGCGAGCTTCAATGTTGAAGTCACGTTTTCGCCGGTGTCCTCGGTTTGACCAATCAAATAGCATTCCGATGATTCTAGCA